GTTAGAGATAACCAGGTAGAATAATTATAGCAACATGATTTACCAGAATGGTCCGCCCAAAAGATGGTTTAAATAGTTATCAAACGAGAAAATGTAATTTATTCACCCAGAGAGGTCATTTAACACGTATTAGTGCGTTTCACATCGAGTTGGAAATTGGACAAAGTATGGCATGTTTTTAAGGAGAAGGGAAGACCAGAGTCGACTCAGCAGGGGGGGTGGCCTCTTGGAAAAAATAAAATAAAAAATAGGGAAGAGAACCAAGAACAAACATTGGTGTGCTACATAATCAAGATGAAGAAGTGCGGCAAAAAAGCTTCGTTATAACTTTATTATACTATTTGAATAAGACACTTTGTTTGTTTTCAATAATCAAATATGCCTTTTTTTGTCGGAAGTCACGGAGCCGTGTTAATATAATTTATAATTGCTGTCGGCTTTACCTCCCCCTTGCTTATAACGTGAATATCTTTTCAGATTATACGAAGACTGTCTTCATTTACTCATCAACTGAAAAAGGTATTGTTTGGCAAACAACCATGCATCAAAAACAACTTACTTTAATGAGTAATAAAACTTTCGATCCCTATGGGTAGCGATATTATAGACGCTTGAATAGACAATTCTGATAAGAATCTTAATTTCCTTTTTTTTCATCAGTTATCTTTTTAGACAGATGATCATAAAATATGCTAGCTTTGATGCATAACCGGCTAAAAAGACTATAATCCGAAACATGAATGCACCATAGTATGTACGAATTTAACTACCATTTTATAAGTCTTTTAATAGCGATTAAAATGTACGTTAATACCGATTTAATCCCCTCAATTTAGCCCAGTTTGTAAGCGCAATATTTACGACCTAGACTATACCGCCTTATACCGCATACAGTCAACAAGCCATTTAAAAATCATTTTCAATTGTCTTTTTTTTGCCGATATATCCGAATAGATGGCGTTGATCAGTCTGTTGAGAATACGTTAATGCTAGCTTTGCATAAGAATTGTTAGGCCCAAGGGAGATGCTTAGAAAGTATGCTTTATTGTTCGCTTCCAGCATTTTCAGGCACAGTTTATTAACCCGGCTCCGAATAAATTCAGGAGTATTACATCATGTTACATTCCTGTACCAAACACCGAGTACATTATTGCATGATTCGATACCTGAGGGCCCGGGGTTATTACATAAGAACTTTTACCGATATTAAAGGTCCTTAAAAATCTGACAGACAAAAGAGGTCTTTAAATTGTTTTTACTGAAAATAGCAGACAAAGAATTTGTTTTCTTAAGGAGCAGTATATAGGTTATTGAGATGTAATTACCAATATCTTTTATACCAACAAATACTAAGTAGGTTTGTACTAAATGATGAATTGTCATTCAGTCCAAGTGCTCACACGGTTCACTAGTCTCGTGTTGCTATTAATGACCTCTTACACTGTCAAGAGTTACTTGTTTTCAATTTTTGAATTATCGCCCAAACCACGATTACATCAAGGCAAAGCAAGGTATTCATGTTGTTGAGCTGGCAATTAAGTGATCATCCCTGAAAAAGTCAGTTGACTACTCGCTTTTGCTTTTTCACTCTTTTTGGTCTTTTTCTCTTTCTTTTCACTGTCACTTTCATTATTTCTAATCAGGATGACGATGGTGAATCGGATCATGGAGCCGCAGCTAGTGACATTAGTCAGGCAAGCTCAGCTCACTCGTCCAGAGTCACAGCTGATGGAGGGGTGGTAACAAAGGTGTAACCAATGAGACTCTTACAAACAGAATCCACCGCGCCTTTAATAAGGACGGTGAAGGAGTTGGAACCTTGAAAAAGAATTTACATAGTACAACAGAATTTTCCGTTCTTACCGCGCCTAACTGTTGCTCTATTACGTTAGACTCCCTTCTCTCCTTGCTTAAATGGAAAACTTGAATTCACGTCAGATTACGGAAATAAGCTTGACCTCAACCAATTTTGCTTGTGCATGTTATGAATAACTGAAAAATCTGTTACCATTTGGTAATTTGAAAATAGAGGAGTAGATGTCTGGAAGAAAGTTTAAGTGACTGCGCGTCGTGTCCAATGCGCTATGCTCAAGGCTACACATTCTATAACGTTCTCTAATTTTCTTTTCTTTTTTTCCGATCAAAATATTTAAGGTCAAGCAACTAAAATAAAAAATAAAAATTATGATTATAATATAAATTTTAACAGTCTTTGTCTTGTGGAAGTCATTTCTGAAGATTTATTTTTCATTTTACTATATATTCTTGTGGTATACGTTTCTGACCCAGTGGTTACAAAACTGTAGGAGGCTGTTACTAGCTGCTGTATTATGGCCCTTTCCCTTTCTTTATAACATCTGTTTCATTTCCATCTCTTATCTCTAGTGCTATTTTCCCGCCTATCTTGGCTTAGCCTTTAAACCGCTAGGGAAGTGGGCGGGGGGGGGAGGGAAGGGGGTGGCTTTAATTCTATCGCCACGAAGCAACTTAAAATGGCCTGCTTTTGGTTGTCGTTTGTTTGACAACAATGCTGTTATCGTTTTATAGAAAGGCGCAAGGATACCATCAATGCGCTTTTTCTTTTGCGAAAAAATCCTAGCAGCGATCGCGCGAATCGGGGAATTCTAATAGAATAGACAATGGGATTCGCCAGGCTGTTACTGTAATGAAGCAGTTTAGTGAAACAGAATGCTTCAAAGGGAATGTCCATCGGTTCTCGCTTAGCATAAAAGAAAACCACAATGTTAAGCACATAGAATGGGACCCAAGTTAGAACGAAAACTAAGCTAAGTATAAGAAGCGTAGTAACAAGGCTTTTCTCTTGAGTTCTTCTCTTCCTTTGTTCCATCTCTTCTTGATATTTGCTGCCTTGCCGTGGAGAATCATCCTTTTGCAATGTCACTTTTTTCCATATGAGGACGTAAGCCACGCAAATAATTAGCAACGACGAGGATATGAAGAAAATTACGAAGTAGAAGAAGACTCTAAGTTTGAATACTTTAAAGCCATCGTTCATGAAGTATAGAAGGGCCACTAGAGCTGACAAAAACCATACAATGCTTATAACGAAGTAATAAACTCGTTTTGAAGTGACCATATTCTTCAAAGGCCACATCACTGCGTATAACCGTTCCAAAGCAATCGTTGTAAGAGCGAAGATTGAAGCGAATCCAGTGAATATATCAATGGCCATGAAAGCAACAAAAATATCCTTTTCATTGCTGTTTGTTTTCCAGTACCATACTAATTGATGTATGTACAGTGGGACTGCAAAGGCACCGACCAGAAGGTCTGCGACAGCGAGCGTTGTTAGGAAGTAGTTAGCGCGCATGCGTATGATCCTTTTCCTTGTGAAAACTGCGATAGTCAGTGCATTGCCGATTATAATAGCTACTGCTACCAAAGCGAAGGCTGTACACCATGTGATCAGTTCAGACAGAGGTATGGTCCTGATTGCTGTTGGAGCTTTTTCAGTGCGAGTTGTGTTAAAAGTGGTCGTGGAATTCTCCTCCATCTTGCTTTTTAGTCCACGTTTTCAAACCTGTTGATATAAACATTAAGATTCTATGATTTAAAGTAGATTAATCAATGGTTTGATGGTGATTGAGGTAAGTTCTTTACCGGTAAATAAACCGCGCAGAAGCTAGCTGCAGACTGAACTGATGAGAAAATTACCGAGTACGGCGAGTAGCCGAGTTCAGTATGAACACCGATCTCTAGGTTTGAATTTTTGTCCATCGTAACAAATACCGCAACAAAGATAATTGATAAGGCTTGGCATCGATAAAATACCGCAACGACGCGGTTAAGCTGATAGCGAAGAACTTGCTGAATTTTAACAGTCGGAAATATTAGCCCTGATGTATTCACTCTGGCCCAAGCTGTTATTAGAAAAGTATGTTGTTGCGTCACTAACATAGAGGCTTGTCAGTACTACGTAGTTTCCTGTCTTTTTGTAAAATGTCCTCGATATTTGCATGTGACTGCTATTTATGTTGTACTGAGGGAAAATTGTCGAAAAATCCTAGGTTTTTAAGTTTTATAGCTAAGCCTACATTATTATTGTTATTCCATTCGCACACTTTCAACCGCTCATTATCGAAACCAAATCTATTTTATACAGATGTTGTTATTAATGACATTTTAATTTTTAAGCATTTCCAAAGCAATTTTACTGTACTACTATTCTAAACAATCATTGAAGCAATCACAAATTTTACCACATGCATTGGGATGTACTTGTTCTAAAGCTGGAAGACTTTTCAATACTCTTAATTAATACTTTTTATACAATGCAATGCTTACAATTCTTTTTTATATTCCATTCTTAACATTTTTAACCGCTCATTATGGAACACAAATCTAGTTGAACCAAATGTTGTTAATGATTTTCAGGACAATTTTTGCTCCAATAAACATACAAGTAATAAAATTTTTTGTGAATGAGAGTGCTTAATGAAAAGCTGCAAGGAAAAACTTTGGTGAATGCTCCTTGTTCACCTTAAGAAATTCGTAAAATACAGTAAATATTTTATTTCATCAATTTGATCAATAAATCGCCGACTTGACACCGTAAACAACTGTTATAATACCTTAAAGTATACACAAATATGTTTTATCTAAATAAATAAAAAAAAAAACGAGCGCGGTCAATGTGCAATGTTAGAGATAACCAGGTAGAATAATTATAGCAACATGATTTACCAGAATGGTCCGCCCAAAAGATGGTTTAAATAGTTATCAAACGAGAAAATGTAATTTATTCACCCAGAGAGGTCATTTAACACGTATT